TGCAGGTCTCAGACGTTTACCACTTTTGTGAAACTCATGACCACAGGTGTTGTGCTGTCAAACCTAGAAACATAATCGAGGCGGACCGGAATTGGAACCCACAATCATAGTTTCCTGGAATGCCCTAGAGACTCAACTCTGCAGAGCGATTTGCGGCGCCTTAGATGAATGGGCCACCCGTGCCCCCTTTGGTGAAAGGAGGTGTACTATAATGTACACCTATATCATGGCCCCTTGCTGTAACACAATGATGTCCTTATCAAGACGGCCATTCAACAAGACATCGGTCCCTGAAATTGGCGTTTTAGGAATTATGAACATCTCATACAGGAAACTATTGTTAAAACGAACTCAAAGGGACGTGACAGTACAATAACTGCCTTATTTACCAATATTAATATTATTTACCAAAAAATGTTATATCATTATAAATAGCCAGACTATTTTGTAAATATCTTTGGAATAAAAATCAATATTAAGAACAATTGCTTGTGTAAATATCATTGCATGATTTGATTATTAGTGTCACTGGGGCGGTAGGATAGCCTAGTGGATAAAGCATTCGCTCATCACGCCTGAGACACGGGTTTGATTCTCCACATGGGTGCAGTGTGTGAAGCCCTTTGTGGTGTCCCCCGCCGTGATATTGCTGGAATATTTCTACTCACTATTTGTGTTACTACTGTTCTATCTAGTGAATCAAGTTTATTTCGTATCTCATGCCACATAGCCCACAGTACAGTTGTAAGATAAATTATATTTTAGGTCAGATCTTTGACGATCTCATTTTAAATAATATACATAAATATAAAGCGAAGTACATTAATATCACAGGACTTAAATAAACTTGCAAACGTCATATTACCTTTATAATATTTCTGTGATAGGGTAAAAAAACTATTTCTCCATTGAATATATTTATATAATTAAAAAAGACATGGTATTCATCCTCTACTACATGAAGGTCACATTCTTTACATATAGATTCTGTATGAGGTATATTTTTACGAATAATGAAGTAAGCCCGAAGTGATGCAGGTCTCAGACGTTTACCACTTCGGTGAAACCCACAAACACGGGTATGGTTCTGACAAACCTAGAAACATAATCGGGGCGAACCGGGATTCGAACCCACAATCATAGGTTTCTGGCGTGCCCAAGGGACGCAACTCTGCACAGCGAATCGCGGCGCCTTAGACGACTGGGCCACCCGTGCCCCCGAAAGATGTGAAGAGATATTCGAAAATTACACATTGTTGTAACTAATCGAGTACAGATATATACAATTGTGGTTACAGGAGAGATTTATATCAGGATAATGCACGAAAACAGTAGACGGTTACAAACGGTGGTACCATGTTTGTTGCTTCTTATTTAACGCCGCACTCAGCAATATTCCAGCTATATGACGGTGGTCTGTATAAAAATCGAGTCTGGACCAGACAATCCAGTGATTGACATCATGAGCATCGATCCACGCAATTGGGATCGATGACATGTATCAACCAAGTCAGCGAACCTGACCACTCGATCCCATAAGTCGCTTCTCACGAGAAGCATGGTCGCCTTTTACGGCAAGCATGGGTTGCTGAAGACCTATTCTACCGCGGATCTTCACGAGTCCGAAACTGTGGTACCATGATTAGAAATAGATATAGATATCCAATAATTAAATCCTAGTAAGGGGCGAGTCAAGGTATTTTTAAAGGGGGTGGGGTTGGATTGGGAGGGATTGACAAAACGGGAAACTGTGCAACCATTCACCACCTAAACGTTAATGTGGAACAAAACAAAATTACATTTCTGTGCTGATCTTAGTTTAGAACTTTCTCAAAATAACAGAGTTTAAGTGGTTGTTGGTGCAAGTGTATACTGAAGTTTTGAAAAAAATAACAAACAAGGATATTCATTGAACTTCACCAAAATAGGTCCTATCAACCAAGTAATATGCCGCCAATGCCGTATTTAAGTAAATCATGCATCAGAGAGTTCTTGGTATTGTATTTCAAACACCGTCTATTTCGTAGCCGGACAGTCGGGGAGTTGGGGTCAGATAGGGGGCAATTTGGAAACATAATATGGCAATAGGGTAAAACCACTTGCCTCAATAAATATAAATTATGGGGATAAGTTAATGAAAATATAATGGTATAGTAGCGTAGATAAAGGAGATTGGCTAAATAATAAGTAAAGAAAATAAACAAAACTAAAATTATAAAATATAAATCTAAGGTGGCTACCTCTGTAAAGCTAGGTTGATAATGTAATAAAAAAATAGAAGCTAGTAATATGTTACGTAAAAAAAAATATAGAAAAAAGAAGAGAAAAGATAAACAAACAAAACAGTGGTTACTCATAAACATAATCATATTCATATTCCTAATCATATTGCATGGTATTTCCGGAACAAGAAAAAATATTTTTTCTGCAAATTGTGTATGAGGCGGCGGCTACTGGTAGTGCTCACTCATTTTCAGTGATCCGTTCATACCACTTTCATCACTCTTTTGCCTTTTTCGCCCAATTGAATCTGTTCTGCAGATAATGGATACAGATTATTCTCTAGCCTTTTATCTTATACTTGGCATACATTGCACCTGTACACAATACTAGTCAGTGATCGTAGGATGATATCGCATCATTTCCCTGTAGATGCCTACCGACCGGTTCCTCCGTATATAGGTGAACGTGAGGGACAGTAAAATCTGTAGAAATTTAGTGTTATGCCCACTTAGACCAGCCTTTGGTTTATGGATTTTTTTCCCAAAACATCAGGTCGGTAGGACGACAAATATGTCATCAAAATGCAATACGTTGGTGTGCCGAGTTTTAAAACAGTCAATCCTTATCTAGTTGGCACGTTTTATTATTCTCAGTGTCTGGGAGAATAAAGTCAGACCAGCAGTCAGGTGTCCCCAGCATGATATTGCTGAAATATTGGCAAAAGCGACGTATGAACAATACTCCGCACTCAGCAATATTCCAGCTATATGAAGGCCGTCTGTAAATAATCGAGTCTGGACCAGACAATCCAGTGATTGACATTAGATCATCGACATGCATCAACCAGGTCAGAAAGCCTGACAACCCAATACAGGTGGTCCCGTTGGTCCCGTTGGTCGCCTCTTACTAGCATAGTCGCGTCTTACGACAAGCATAGTCGCCTCTTACGACAAGCATAGTCGCCAGTCAATTCTTATCTAGTTGGCACCTTTTATTATTCTCAGCTTCTTTGGGAAAAAAAGTCAGATCAGCAGTCGAAACAATAGATAATATAGAATTGTTTTATAAGAAACTAACATCATAATTGGTTGGAGAGGTATATAACTGTCATTCATACATAAGTATATACAACAGAAACACATATCCAGTAAATATGTGACAAATGTTTTCACGAAAATTTTCTTGGGGTAGCCTAATGGTTTTAAACGTTTACTTTTCATGCCGAAGACCCGGTATCTATTTCCCACATGGTTACAAGATGCGAATCTCTTTTCAAGTGTCCCCGGCTTGATACTGCTGAAATATTGCTAGAAGCGACGTATAAACTCTACTCATTCACTGACCCACTCACTCGTATCAGGAAGTCACATTACTCATTTAAGCATTTCATTATTGCTGAAATAAGCTTAGCACTTTCAGTTTTGGACATTATTTTCATTTATTATTTTAAATAATTAAATAATTAACAATATATCATCGCCCAGTTTTATAGCCTATATTCCCCGTGCGGATTGTGGGATGGAAAGGATCCCAGTCGTAAAAGCCCGGCCAAACTACCAATCTCACTTTCGGCTATTTACGTCAAGCCCTCTGTTGGCAAATTGCCAACCTATCGCTTTGGCAGGCTGGATGCTTGTGCGGCATGTACTGGCTGTGTGGGACTTCATCTACATCATAAGTCAATGTTTTGTCTTGTCCAAACTGTCGAAACAAAGACTGCACATTGCTGATGACAGCGTTAAACAAGAAACAAGCAAATGAAACTCATATATTAGTATAACTATGATTGTTCGTATTCTGTAGGTATACTACGTGCGCTTCCCACATTATAGTGTCATATGTGCATCTCCCAGGGACGCCGGCTTTTCATCTGTCTCATAATATTTGTTATTCTGATTAGTTTAAGCCTCGGCAGTGAAAGAGATAAAAACCTTTGAGATGATCCTGCAATAATGTTTTCATGTGATGCAACGCGAATCGACACATTTTGAAACTCGGATCACCTGAGTGAAATTTAGAACTAGTTAACTTTCTTAAGTATTAGGTTGTTTACTACTGTTAATTTTGTAACTTTGGGATAACAGTTTCCCATTATTTGGCTTTGGGTTAAAATGGGCAAGTTGTGGTTGTTTCAGTTTTTATATCTAAGAAAATAAGGAAAATAGGTTCAACGGACTGTTTTTCCAGTGTGTTATCTAGTTACAGTTTAATAGAAAAAAACAATTGTATAAATTAAAGCAGACAAAACTGATGAGATTGATCAACATTTCAGGCAGAGGAATACACACTGTGGGATATGAATGTTGCAGGGAAGTGCATGACGAGAAATCACGAGCTGCGGGTGCGTGTTGAGGTGACATTTGTTCCATCGGACATGGTAAAGTGTACAGAATCAATGAGTGAGTCAGTCTATCAATCAATCACCCCTGTGGGGGACACCAGGGTGTGTCTACAAACCCACATCATGAATATAGGATATTGGCATTGCTGCGCTATTTGTTGTTAATGTATTGCCCATCCGTGAAGATTCGGGTAGAGAATAGGTATTCAGCAACCCTTGCTTACCGTAAAAGGCGACTATGCTTGTTGTTAGAGGCGTCTAACGGAATCGGGTGGTCAGGATCCCTGACTTGTTTGCGTAGATCAATGCTCATGATGTCAATCACTGGATTGTCTTGTCCAGACTCGATTATTTACAAACCGCCGTCATTTAGTTGGAATATTGATGATTGCGGCGTTAAACAACAAACAAACCAATCCATGTCTTGTCTGTGCAGATTTTATAAGCAGAATCACTGAAAGTGTACAAATGCAAAAGAACAGGAATAGAATAACCTGTCCACCCTTAAATAAAATGGACCAACCGCTTGGACTCTTAACCCAAGCACATAAATTTATACTGAAACTAATAAAGACAAAAACTACTTGAAATGAAAAAGCTAAAACAATATCCCTGAAAACGATACAATATCCTGTTACATGAATCAGGTGATTGTTTAATTCATGCACATAACTTGACACGCCCACAGAGTCAGCCGCCAATCAACGATGAGAAGCATCAAACAGAGTTCAAAGGACCTGTCAGGCAGGAGGCAAAAACAGCAACTGTCAGACTGTATACAACGAACTGGAACAAATATGTCAGAGAGAAGACAGCTGATTCAAATGACATGGTCAGTAACGGTCAGATTCAAACATTAGTTCCATGAGAATGGGAAGACACAGTTGGGAATATGCGAGTGAGAAATGAAACCAGAAGACATAAAATTTGTGGAACCAAGACGAGCTGTTTAATTCATTCTCGGCCTTCAGGCTCAATAGGTGGTTTGAATGTTCAAGAGATTGGTTCTTTTTAGACTGAATTTCCAAACTTTACCAGGAAGTCTATTTTTAAGTGAGTCTTAACGCGGAGAGAAGTGTTCGTTCATCCATCGGATTAAATATCATATAGTTTCGACCCCGCTGCATGGTTGTAAGGGAGACAACTCCTCCGACCCTCTGACCGACAGCGGCAGTTCATGTCCTCCCTCTGTTGGCGTCATCAGCCGAGGCCTAGCAAGATTCACTGCACTCTACAACACACAATAAATATTGTCAATAAAGGCATTTATTACTTGCCCGTGAAGAGATCACCCGTTTAATAAACATACAGCTGTATTACACATTGTGTAATATCAAAACGCGTGCTTATGTACTCTCGGAACACGTTTCAGGAACAAATATTGAAAGCTCTCAACATCCCTTGGCTTATTCAACGAAATTGCGTGTGGAGTTGATAGATCACTGAGAGGAGCTTATGCACACTCGATGACCCCCAGCAACCTTGTTGCTAGGTTGATGTCACATGGCATTGTTTCCACAAAATTCCACAAATTCCACAAGGCGATGGTATTGTAGCGCAACGACAGTCGTTAGTCTTAGTTAAAGTATGTGAGTTGCGATAGTCTTAGCCCTACGATAATTTTGTGTTGTATGGTATTAAATTCATACGTTTTAACTTTTGACGTGTTTGAAGTATTAGTCTGTTAAAGTCAATTGGACTATGCCGTGGATCGTGTAGGTGTCAGCCTATTCATACTCAACAGTATTATTAAAAAAACGTTATAAATGGCAAGTAATAAATAAAATACTAAACTCCCTCCCGTTTTATACCAATTTTATTAAACTCGCTCGTCAGATACCACAACTATTCACTCGTTTCATAAAAAATGGTATTACACGGGAGCTCGTTTAGTATTCTCTATATATTTTTTTAAATAACTTCTTAACTTTATAACTTTATGCATTCTAAACTGCGAGGTTATGTTTGCTTCAATCTTTTTTCTCATTATTTACTGATTAAGCGACCCTCGAACGAACACTTAAAATTTGTTTCTCTCTGTGCAACCAGCAGCTGATGTCGACAACCAATGGATTATTAGCATAAATTTGCAAATTGGAAATACGTTTTGACCCGCGTAATCTGCACCACCTCCGTAGAGTATATAGCAGCAGAACATATTATTTTGCTGTCTAAAACGGACAGAATTACATTCCATGCATTATCTGTAAATGTAAAATATTGCTGAAATGAATATAATCTTTTTCTCACAAAACTCCGCAGAGTACTCTAGAAACAGGTTTGAATATTTTGATGTGAATTAAACTTTACTATTTGCTGCGTTTATGGTGGTATGGGTAATCGATATATTTAGGTACATCGACAATGTGTAATTTCAAAGAATTGATTATACTCTTCAAAAAAAGAAACGCAAAACGGGTAATTAGCGGACCAAGAGGTGAAAAATTAAGAGGTTTAATGTGTTATAGTGTTAGTGACAAATTTCCAGACGAACCATTAGTCGGGAAACACGTACGATTCGGAAAAAAACGCACACAGTGCATAACTAAAAGGGCCATGGAGTTGCACGCACTGCACGTGCAGCAGCATTATGAACGGTATTGAAGTGCAGGGTTTTTGGTTGCCTGGCGTCTGCATCAATCGAATAGTGACAGTTCAACATGCCAAGATTAACAGAAGTGCAAAGAAACAACGTCATAGGCCGCTTGCAGGCAAGGGACTCCCCATCAAGGTTTCCAATGTAGCGCCCAACACAATCACAAGGCTATGGGATCGGTTTCAACAGCATGGGTCAACACGTAATCGGCCAAGGTTGGGACGACCAGGAGTAACCACCCCGCTTAAGATCCCTACATGCGACTGCAACAGTTACGTGAAAGGACGATCACAGCCACCTCAACTGCATCCCAAATACCCGGACTCCAAAAGTCTTCGACCAGACCGTACGAAACTGTTTAAGAGCAGCAGGTCTACGAGCAAGACGTCCTGTTTGACGCGTCATATTGAGTCGACAACATCGTCAATAACGACTGCCTTGGTGTCGTCAAATCTGGGTATGTCCCCAACCGCGATGGAGAGATGTCTGGTTCAGTGACAAATCAAGATTTCTCCTCTGTTGAGGGGATGGAAGAGCACGGGTCTACAGACGTCGGGGAGTACTTTACGCCGGAAACTGCGTACTGGAAGTGGACAGCTGTGATGGGAGTAGCGTTATGATGTAGGCGGCTCTCTCTCATCATGGCACGACAGGTTTGGTCCATATCCAGGGCAATCTTACGGCTCAACGATACATCAACGAAATTCTTCTGCCACACGTCCTCCCAATTGCAGCCAACGGCCATGGTGTATTCCAGCAGGACAACGCTCGACCGCATACAGCACGGATCACAAGAGGCTGTCTACACAACAACAACGTTGATGTTCTCCCCTGGCCCTCCATCCGATAGAACACCTGTGGGATGAATCAGATAGACGGCTACTCCGACGTCAACCACAACCCCAAACGTTGCAGTAGTTGGCTTTTGCGTTTCATGCCGAGTGGGCGACCATTCCCCAGGATGTGATTCGCGTACTTGTCTTTTCCATGTGCAGGAGATATCAGGCCGCTATCGGTTCCAACGGGATACATACGCGTTATTGATAGTAGCTGACCTTCACCTTGGACTCTTCCTATGTACCGATAACTGATGTTCTCTCCACAACATTTCGGCTCAATACCTAGTACGGTTCTTCATATACATGTATTTTCCTACGTCACACAAATCTGGCTTTCCGGTTTTTTTCTTTGAAGAGGACATTTTTGTAAAACTTCCCTCCCCTAAGCACCCAATATGAATTTGACACCGAAAGCTCACATAACATATGGTTGTAGGTTTGAATCAACCTTGACATACAGAAACAACATCCTCAGACTACCGTGATGCTATCCTCGTTTGTTCTTCGTGAAAGGAAAGCCCTGGTCGATCTGGGAAGACAGCAGCACAGTCTGTCAACTACAGGCACCAAGTACCTGGGATCTACTGGGCTGTTGCGATTAAAACCTGAAATTATGATCAGAGATGATATTCATACTGTATGCAGCGTGTTAGGGCGAAATAATCTCGTTTGACTTGGATGCACTGTTGTGATGATAGGATCAAAACTATCCCTTTGAAAGTTTCAGATCCCAACATTTCTTCAGGCCCCCACATTTCTTCATTTTTGTTGTTGTCATTTTCGAAAACAGTTAGAAAATGAGCAAAACTTGATTAAAGCCGTGTCGGCAATATTGCAGCTACACGTATTCGTTAGACGGGATAACAATTTTGTTATCTGTTAAAGAAGTTAGCTCTATGCCCATGTGTAATAAAGAATAGGTTTGCCCTAAACTTCTTAGTAAATGCACCAGAACGCTTGCGTCCGAGTGCTTTGACGCTTGAACGTTTTTCTAAAAAAATTCTACCTCAAGCCTAAAAACGGTGTAAGAATCTACATCGAAACCTTGCTATATGCAATAAATCAGAGTTGTCATCCATAAAGTTTACGTTTTGGTTTTCTAAAGGTCAAGTATAGTTTGAGACATGTAAAGTTTCTGAAAAGATTAGGGGATCGCACAAGGCCTTACAGTTATTCAGTTGACAAGGCCTAAATAATCGTGTCTGGACCAGAAAATCAAGTGACATGCATCAACAAAGTCAACGGGCCTGACCACCCGGTCCCGTAATTCGCCTCTTAGGACAAGCATTGTTGCCTATAACAGCAAGCATGGTTTTACCTAATAATGCTGTTACCTGTACACAACTGGCAATACCGCCGATGTGTGTAGTCAAACAAATGACAAGGCCATTCATGCGTCCTGGAAATATTATAAGAAGTAAACACGTGTATGTGTAAACTCCAAAGTTAAGTTATCCAAGGTTTATCTGATAATGTTGTTACCTGTGATCCAACTGGCAGCGAAGCCAGTGAGTGTAGTCAAACAAGTGCCGAGAAGTCCAAGCCACACATAAGAGAGCCGGTAGATTTCCTCTATCCATATGCTAAAACATGTTCACTCAAGATGCAAAAAATCCAAATAGTTATGCAACACTCACATTTGTGTATGACAACAGGTGCACACATCGCAGCTAATTTGGTTATTTAATTACACCGATTCAGAGAATGGATTCATATGTCAGTTAGAAAATCACACGTCCTAGTGGAGATTTCAAAGTAGACACAATTTATGGATAACAGCAATCTCATTAAAATCAGACCTTAGTTCTCGCTACCGCTAAACAAAGATCTGAAGACATCCTATTAGGGGTCACGTCAGAACGACATTTCATCTGACCAATCAATGCGTCGCTTACCAGATTATGAAAGTGACAGTCGGAATGTGATTTCTAGTCATGCAATCTCGAAAACTTTAACATTGTGTATTCTGAACGATAGTTACGGGTTTAACGACTGAATCCTTACAATCTAGACCATCGTCAAAATATGTTTTGAAGCGTACTCGCCAATTGGAAATTTGTGCCGTAAAACGTGAGAAAGCTACCTTCTGATTGGTCATTCCATTGGTCGGTCAAAGTTCGCGCAAGGTCGGCCTGACGTGACCCGCAATGGGATGTCCTCAGATCTTTCTTTAGTGGAAGCGAGAACAAATATCTGAATTGAATGAGATTGGGATAACAACATCTTTTTTTACTGTAATGGTGACGTTTGTGTATAGATCCTTATACCGTATATACGGATCTATTTCGAATCGTCGCTATTACAGTGAAATAAAGTTGTTGTCCATAAATTGTTGTTGTCTACTCTGTCATCCAGCAACTTCTGATCAATGACCATCAAATAATTCATCAGTTGAAATTTGTTTCTCAATAATATTTTCCCATGGTCGACATAGTCACCTTTCTCGTGCCGCTTAAACTGACAAATGGGAAAATATAAACAAAGATAATGCCAAATATTTAAATAGTTTATGACAAGATTACCCATTGTAAGTCAATGAACGACAATACAGGAAAATGGTATGCCATATGATCTCAGCGGTCAGCCTATTGTTCAGACGTCATGGACAAAGGAGGACGCCATGTCATATCATTTTCCACAATGGAACAATGTCTCGTCATGTGACCAGCCTTATTTAGAAACTCTAAAATACACGAATACTCCGCATTCACACAGCTCGATCAGTCTACCGTACTGGTAAAAAAATGTACATTATTATCTGAACTAAATATTAATAATCAACTGGTTTTGAATCAGACCTTTTAACACTCAGTATTACAAAAGCAATTTGCAATAAGAAGATAAACCTACCGTGTTTTGAAATTTGATATAGACCTGCTGTAAAGTAGATACCTCTTTTTTAAATTTTGGTTTATTCAAATGTATAAATAAGAGGTATCTACTCTACAGAGGGACTACATCAAATTTCAAAACACTGTAGGTTTATTTCCATTCTACCATGACGGCAGCAACGCTTTTAAAAACGGTGCTCTTTTAAAAAATCAGTGTTTTTTGATGGACTTTCAAATCCCCTCCTGCCAAATCCTTATGGTGATCGGCAATCATTTTTTTTATGAATCTATTGTCTTCTTGCGCACGTTTTTTGTGTGAAAAGGCTAGTAAATTTAAAAGAGGTTTCAATAGCAAAAAGAAAACATCTTTTTAATCAATCAGAATCAAGCATTCTTCAATGTCATGGTAGAATATCATTTGAATCACTTAAATTTACAACTTAAAATAAGTTAAAAAGACATCACACCTGATTATTTTGCCAAGGCATGACATTCTGACTATAGCAAAATGAATGAATGATGGTCTTTAACTTCTTGTAAGTATTACATGTCACCAAGCTATTTCATTTCAGTGCTGTCTCACATGCTTTTTTCAATTGATTTGATACATACGGCTCTCGGAAGGTTTCGGCCACTGATGTGTTGTACACAGATGGTGTAAACGTCGTCCACGTAGACGTGTTTGAAGCCACTGGTGGTGTTGCAGTCATGCATTGGTCAGTTGATGCAGGAGGAAGCCATGGTGTCGGCTTCACAACATCGGAAAATGCAGAACCCAGGCAGATCCACATCATAATTATTGAACCCACGAGTGTACCGGTGAATGCCCCCTGACACATGCATAGAATGAGTTAGTGAGTGAGTTGGATTTATTGCTGCCTTTAACAGTATGCCAGTTATATCACAGCGTGTTAGCTAAATGTTGGGGGAAAGCCCGACATGATGCATGTGAAACCCACGAGCAAAGGTATGGTGCTGACAGGCCTAGACACATCATCGGTGTAGCTTAATCTAGAAGGAAAGGAACTATTTGCATCATTGGGTTTGGTGATTGATATAAACTTTATAAACACGTTATTTCTGTATTGAATTATGTATAATGTTTGGTCTGTTACTGGAAAGGGTGTCAACTCAAAGTGTGGTGTAAGCCCAAAGTGATACAGGCCCTAGATTTCCGAAATGTTCGTAGCCCTAAAAGAATCTTTAAGTTATCGTATGGAAATCGCAGTCTATCGTAGTCTATTTTCAAAACTACCGTAGCCCTAAGATATTGAAAGGTTGTCATAAATCTAAGATAACCGCATACCTGTCATAAGTATACTTTATCTTCATCAAAGATGGCGGCATACTTTGCAAACAATTTTCAAAGTTCAAACTTTGACAAACCGTGGGATTCAAACTGACACTTTCGAAAACACAAAGAAAGCATAAAGGTTTCACGCATCAAAGATTTCACGTCAGAAATGTTTTTAATAACAACAGCGATCCACATATGTTACTCAATGTTACAGTTTTCATAAACCGCAGAGTTCCGCTGTAATATTTTCTGGATTGCATATGTAACAATGCTTTAGTCTTTATTTTCGCATGTTTATTACATCAATCCACACATGTGAAATCAAATAAAAAATGGTTTCCCATGCTCGTTTGGGTTTAAAATGTCATCATAAGGTAACGGATGTTGAACTTTTTCCAAAAATCACTTTCCAATATATTTTCGTAGACAATGTTCATTGAATGAAATTTACTGATCAGTATAACATAGACATTTTCACCACGATAATCTTTGAATTTTGAATTCAGTGTACCGATTTTAAAAAAATGATCGATGTTGGTCTTTTAAAAATTCAAGTGTACATTTACTCGTTTTAAATTAATAAAATATAGATACTTGAGACCGTTCACACAATAAAAACATTGTAAAGGATAGGGTCACCGGACAAGTACTTTTAGAAGATCCTTAGCAATGCTGTCAGACAAGCCAAACGTCATCGAACAACGTTTGAGAATAGATGTCACAAATTTACAATGTGGACATTTCGCTCCTTAGACAGATTTTAATCAAATCAGACAAATCAATTTATAAGCTCAACTTAACTTAAAAGAATGGAAACGGACTACATTATATGTATGTTCACTTTAACTTGTGGTGTGTTCCATGAGACAACATAACTTGACAATTACTCAAGTATCTCCCTTTGTGAACGAAAATTAGTGTCACTTTCAAATTTTGATAAGAATTAAAGATCTAGATAGATGTGTTTTTAAATTATATAATCTAAATACAAATAGATTGATATTGTATTTGAGTCCTTTGTTTATTCCCAAAATATATTGGATATGTAAAAAACAAAAGAAACATACATTATGTCATTATGGGTGCGCTGCTTCCTGAACAATATTTGTTTTGAGTGTTTTCAGATATAATATTGGTGTTTTCTTTATAAACTTGAATTTTGACTTAAACACAAAAAGCAAGCAGTATTGTGAAACTGACCAAGTATTCATCATGTAACATCAGACTTGAAAACGTAACTTAAATGCTGAACGCCTGCTGTCCGATCATAGGTCTCGTCATTGTCATTTAGAATAACGTCCCTTACTGTCGTCCTTGACTTTGTACGCAAAGTGTTAACATAAAGTTCTGCGCGCTCGCGGGAGGGTCATTTGAAGGGAAAATAGTGAAGTATCTTTTTTCCTATTCTAATAGCTATATTGTGGTATCACTACACTTTTTGATCATAACATTAATTGGGTTTGAAAAATGCCTTTGCATGACACACGAATGTTATTTGTGTTTAGGTAGTCATGGCATCATTTATCATAAGAACAAAACGTCTACATGAAGGACATATATACGAAGGATTGTAAGGAATGTCACTCAAATAGTTGCGTGTTAAACAATGTGACCTGACAATGTGATCATGAATTCCATGTCACTTGTTATTGTCAGCGGCTGGGATATCTCCGTGACGTCATTTGGAAATACCCCGTTTTTTCAATCACTGACACAAATGAGTTCTCAGACAGAGTAGCGATAGTTATCGTTTCTTCATGCGATTTGCGACAGGTTTCTGATAGTTTCAAAAAATCTATTTTATCTTAAATTCAAGATATCATATCTTCGAACGTAAGTTCTCAAGATTTATCTCAGCTGAGATCGTTTCGAAAATCTGGACCCTTGGTCTCAGGCGTTTACCATGTTGGTGAAACCCACGAGCACAGGTGTGGTGCTGACAGGCCAAGAAACATCATCGGTGCCATATGAGCTTGTAACAATCATCAAGTTTGGGTTTGGTATTAACGTTTCCAACACATTATTACTTTATTCAATAATGTAATCTGTTGTATCTGTCACTGGAAAGTTTAAGTATTTGAAATTACAATTGCTAACAATTGCTAAGTGAGTGAGTGAGTGAGTGAGCGGACAGTATTCAAGTTATATCACGGCATGTCCATATCACATTTTATATTACAAAAATGCAAACATGATGGAATAATAGACAAAGATGACCTTTTCAATATAACTACATGACAGCAATGACTAAAAGAGGATAATGTGGGAACTCTATTTTCAGTAACCTCTTTCTGATGAGATATCAAAAATGTATTTCCCTGAAAGAGGTCCACTTTTTCTTATTACTGTATGTTTATTATTGATATTATTATTAAATTTTACTTTCCCCTTCGGTCTCAAAATTTACAGTTTTTGCTCCAATACGAAAACAATTTGGACAAATATAGGGTACTCTGGCCTTGTTTCATGATACTGACCCTTGAAGATCCGGGGTAGGATAGGTCTGCATCAACCAATGCTTGCGACCATGCTTGTTGGATTGGATTGTCTGGTTCAGCCTCGATTATTTACAGACCGCCGTCACATAGCTCTAAAACATTGCTGAGTGCGGAGTTAAACAACAAACAAACAACACCAAAACCTCATGATACTGACAAAGTTTGCTCAGTCCGAGACATATGCCTGCTAAAATCATCACTTAAAAGTTAAAGTGTTTCAGTTGACATTCTTGGTCTTCCCGACCACAAAACGCCTGTTAAAAACTATACTAATGATAGTACCAACCAGATGATGTGTGATCCGTACCTTTGCATTAGCCCAAGGACAAAATGCTGCCAAGATGAATAATCCACACAGAGGTCCGGAAAAGGCCGCTAGGACACTTGTGGATATCTTCAATGACATATTCATCATTGTGAATAGTTATAGATGCGTTTTTCGCTATCAAGGAGGCTATAATTGCCAAAATAGTGCGTTGGCACTGTAGCTCACTATATAGTCAACGAAGACAGACACTTAACAAAATTTACAAAAGTTGCTGCCAGCATTGATATTAAATATTACTTCCTGCATAAACACACGTAGGCGTCGGAACGAGTTTTCTTTTAAAGAAAAACTATTGGTATATCTTTTTTTATTATTTCCTTTTGTACATTTTATAAGATACACTCTTTGAAAGTAGTCTTAAAGTGAAAATAAAGTGGAAATTTTGAATTTGTTGCGAATATCAATTTTCCTAGATACATTATTATTGAAAATCATTGGGCTTTGAATTTAACACCCAAACCACAAACGTTGTGTTTAGAAAAGGTGGCTAGTACACAGTCAGTAGAGAAATGGTCCTGTGATAAAAAAAATATTGGTGTTGTTGATAGCTTTACACATCTGGAAATTGTTCGATAGTTACACTGGTAGCGTTTTATGTCAGGTATCAGCTTACCTTGGTTTCCTCAAGGGAGAAAATGTAGAGCGATCACACCTTCACTTCTGTAAGCGATTATTAGGTGTTTACATGTAATTCAGTGGGCTAGGGCGCTGCCTATTAAAATATTAAAGAATGTACAATAGTATTAGTGAGTGAGTGAGTTTAGTTTAACGCCTCTTTCAACAGTATTACTTTAATATCACGGCGTGTCAGCTAAATGTTGGAGGAAAGCCCGACGTGATGCGGGTATTAATGTTGCAGATAGAAAACATGTCCCAGTGATGTTGAAGAAGAATTTCAGTATCCACTTTATTTGGTAAAGCAAAATCAAACAAATTTTTTGGAACAACCCTACAGTCTTTCAAAATGTTAAGCAGATATGTCACCTAGGTATAATTCTCTTCAGAACTGACATGTTCAATAAAGATTTATCATGTGTTATGTTTATACAGTTAATTCTCCTTATAATTTTATCACTGTAATGAAGACAATGTCTACTGTGTCCGGGATTGCTCCCAATGATTATCATAAATCTCTGATAATCTTAATGTTTAAAAATTGAGAATTCAGTACACTACTGCATCTTCTATGCCGTTACTAATTCAGAGCTTATATAGTGGACACGGTAATAAAACGAATGTGCACGCAGAAAAGCCCCGTGAATGCGATTTAAAAATCCGAGGTGGAAGGAGGCAGACAAGGCTCCGACCAATCGTTGAAATTGTGCAGAGTGACAAACATCTGCTACCGTTTTTCAAATTTGATTTTAGTCGAGCATTTATGATGTTGCTATGTTATGTTTACGTGCCCTTCAAACAAAGTTACATGTATGAATCAGAATAAAATTGAATGTATAAACTGTCCTCTCACGGGTGTTCTTGAATCCTGAACAGTTGTATGCAAGGAAACATTTTGGTGCCGATGACCCTGTTACGGGAATTTTTGCACCTTAAGATTCATTGGTGTTGACAGCATATCATCGTCACAATGACGACCAATTTAGCTTAGGTTAACTACCTTTACTCTTGTAAACCAAATAATCTGTCCTGATGAGTTATATTTGTAAATCTATGTATCTGCAGCGGCGTTCAAAATGGACATCGCCACCATTGGTCCGAGGCTGAAAGATTTGTTCTCGGGCTGAGAAATATATTTCAGCAGGCCCTTACGGCCTGCAAATTATTTGAAACTGTAAGCATGGTAAATGAATCAAAACACTGAGATTGCTTGGAGAAACAGGAGCCAGCTTTAATGTACTCCACTCGTTAACTCTTTCAACACTGACCCGCCACACCGTAGCCACGTTAAAATAATTCATTTATTAAATCTATCACTTTTCGCAAAGTCGGAAAATACGTATTTGATTTCAATTTATCATATTTATCAATAGAATTAAAATATTGAACTATTTTCTGCCATGTTATTAAACAAAATAATAATCTGGGACACATGCTTTGAAAACGGATCTATATTGAACATGTAAAAGAGCAATATAAAGACGTTTCAAGCAAATCATAAATTAATTAATAAAATCACCATTCCTTGTTATGTGCTGTAATTTTTATTCCAAGAGTATGTCTTCCTGCTTCAGCTAAAATGTTTGGGCCTACAGTTTTTCATGTGGGCCTACAGTTTTGTAAAATGTGCTGGACCCTTAAGGCACTCAGTTTACTCTGCTGAGTTTCAGACACTTGTCTGCAGCCAAAAAAACAAAAAATATCTTCAGGCGATCAGTACTCAAGATTTACCTGATAACACGGATTATTACTGCAACATCTGAACGATCATTCTCAAGTCTTAGGAGACTGAAAACACATCTAAGAAGTACCTTGCCCCAGCAACGTCTTGACAAAGTAGACACAATTATCATGCTGTTGCACATTTACAAAGAGGACACTGATGCCATATGCCTTATGGACATTGCCAAGGTATTTGCACATACAAACCAGACATGTGGCACCTAACCCGCACTGCCAATTAAACAAAGCATGTGAATATGGAAGAAAATAATTTGTTGGATTTCAGGTATAACACCACCTCACTGACGTCAGTAATTGTTTTACTTTTAAAATATTTATACTAAACAACCTGCACACAGCTAAGCCAATGCTGTCCTTTATTTGGTGATCAGATGAACAGGAATGGACTCATGTACATCGTTTCTCTCCACAATATATTTGACCGCAAACTTTGTACACTATGATGCCTTCAACATACTTAATACTGTGTCTAAGATATGACAAATTATAGGTGCTAAAGGCAGCTGATTCGTCACAACTGCTTACCTTTATTATTGGGTAAAAAGAAATAAATCTTCTTGAGCACACGTTTTCGTTTGTGTTAAATTTTGAATCTCAAAACATGTTTTCCAAATGGTTGACCATGCGTTGTGAGAATCTACCTAACTTAGACGATTTGGCCCATAAGACAAAACACTAGCTAAATGGTATACGTACGTACGCACGCACGCACGCACGCACGCAAGCACGCGCACAAACACGCAGAGGTTGTCGACCTCGCACTCGCTATCACGGTCAATAACATACTACTTTCCATCTGTCATTACCCTACCTGGTAATAGTAATCGACATGCACCCGGGCACAAATGTTTTGCCCTAGTTTTAATTACACGTGTACCAAACATTTTATTACTATTTTAAAACAAATGTCTCTAAAGTGTCGAAAGTGTAAAATCAAATTCGATCCTCGGACACACAGGCCACAATAAAAGCTCACTTGACTTTCAGTCTGGTGAGCTAAACAATAATAATGTATTAATCTTGCTTTATAACACGCAGATAACAGACCCTTGAGATGAATCAATTTTAGAAAATCAACACTGCTTTTGAAAGTAACGTAAATAACTTTATTTCCCTGTTTAGAGCAAAGGAACAGTTAAATTGAATGAGTGAGTCCACATGATATTAAGATGAGTTTTCATACCTGCAACAATGTTCCACTGACCAATGATATTAGGATGGCTACCCCAAAGGAAAACACTCCGTAGATGATCACTGAAAGGAGACCATACATGTATATGATATATATATGATATTATATGAATGTCATTCTTTGTTTTCGACACGAGTGTCTAAATTCCGGCATATTCCTAGCGAGAACAAGTTTTTGTACAAGTGTTTGTTTGTTTCTTGTTTTACTGATTTTGATTGGTCAGTCAGAGGTAATCAAATCACAATAACCCCCTCTGTTTTAAACAACCGATGTGACGACCGCATCACGGCGGAGGCTATATTGTTAGAACAGTACTTCTTTTACAGTCACTGTGAGTAGGCATATTTTAATAATTATATGTAAAATTATAGGCTACAAAATGCAAAGTTGCGGATACAACAATATTCATCATGAGTGGCAATACATATTGTGCAGAAAACACGATAAAAATATAGAAAGAGAATCAATATCATGTTTTGAGGACAACAAAGAGCTTGATATTTGGCCTTTGCCTATATATAATTACTGTGACGGCATATCTTTTGCGTCACAATGCGCGATATGACATCATAATTGTGACGCGTGGCGTAGAACGAAACAATTGCAAGGCTTGGCTTAGTTTTCTTCAGGGAAGCCAACATCATGTTAGCTTACCAAGATGCCGTGCTATATGCTTTCAGAGCCTGTCATAAGTTCAACCTAAGTAATACGGTGTAAACAAACTGTTTGAGGGTATATAGCGCCATATTTAGTTCAAAGGCTGTTGTCAGTTTACTTTGTATTGCCTATGTTTTGTGTCAGGGATGAAATCGCGATTGTTTTCGTTGTCTGATCGACTTGGTCGTCGCCTATGGTAGTCGCTATCTTCGTGAAGCTATACGATATAAGAACAGTGATCTGATTGGATATCGCGTTTTCATTACGAGGGGCTCAACTAGTGATCTACGCGAGGTGGCGCCAGAGTCGAGCCAAGGAAAGTGGCCTTGTTGTGGCAAGGATAGAAACTAGGCTTTGATATAGGCTAGTGGACAAGCTTGCCTCGGGAAGACGGGTATGGGTAGACAAAAAATTACACAGACATATACACACATATCAAACATGTGTTCGCAACATCCTACCTGCTACTTTAGCTACAAGTGTTGCCTTGAAGTCGGAATGGTTTGGCAGGTGATGCTTGAGGATGTCTTCCCAGGTTGTGGCCGACAGACTGGACAGCCCAGAGGAAATAGTGCTGGAGGGAAGGGATTTTGTAAAATGTAGACTTCAATCTCAACAAACGCCATTCAAGGAATTATTTAATACCTTAACATGTTCACATAAACCATGTCGGCCTTTGTTAAAAGACATCCTACATTGACACATACTATGCGACAATTTCTTCATGGGACAAATGACATGTGTTTTATCTTCATACACAAAGCATTGTTACTTCTACTTCAGAGAACTGATGTTCAGCTGTGTACTGATAATGATAGATGCCAAGAGTCTTTACTTGCTGTTTCCCGGTCCAGTGCTCGGTGTTAAGGGGATTTAGCAAGGACTGGTCGTTTCAGAATCAGTATACTGTGTCTGAGTGAAGTATCCATTTTAAGGTGCTGTATGATGTCTCAGTTGGCTAACACTATAAAACCTGCATTAGTCCAGACAAGTGGAGCATGCATGAACGTCGCTATATTAGCGCAATGATACTGACCGCGAGGTTAAGCCACGTTTTTTTCCCCCATTCCCTCACCTCAGTGAGGCACTACAGAGAGCTGCCACAAACAGTCCCAGCATCCCAGGGATACCTTTGAATATGTCCACAGTCAGGAAGGGAACGATCTGAAAAGTATCATTTGGCCCATAGTACTTTAAACTGACATTGTGCAAAACACATTTACAAAAAACAGTTGGTGTTTTAGTATGACTATTAACGTCATCAGAGTCGTGTATCGCCGCCATCAGGCCATCTTCCCGAGGCACGGTAATTAACTGACTACAAAAATCCAGTGTCCACCCTGGCCCAACTAGGCTGGAATTATGAAGTTATGTTTTGGCTGGACTAGCGAGTCTGTGCATAGTCCAATCCAAATCCTGTAACGAAATCGACGTCCGGTTTATAAACAACAGGGCACCCGCGGTGCCATATTCGTTCGATTGCTGGATACATTCCGTCAACTGGGTGTCGACAGATATTTTCCAAATCTTTTTACGTTTTAAACCAAGGTGCTCAAGTGATTCGATGCAGATAGAATCCTCGTTTTATTACAATAAAGATCATTATTGTCGATGAAATCGTCTTGACTCGCTGCCATTTTGTTTAAGGCAAGTGCAAGATATATGAGAGGTGGAATCTGATTGGTCAGTAGAGGGGACATACATGAGACATAGCCACTAGTGGATCTACGATCGAGCCTAGAAATTCCAGCCAAGTTTGGCAAGGATGGAAATTCCCTTCCCTTGGCAATATTACATTTAGCGTGATTCCGCAGTTAGCTTACGTGCTTAAAACACAACACCTTGGCGTAGTTTTTCCATACTATACACAGGACATGAAAGTAAGACACAGTAAAATATGGGTCAGTTCTAGACGGAAAACAGGTTGGTACCTGATTTGGGTTGATGATTTGACCAGAAGCAAGCGGATCGCACCCCAGATGATCGTAATAGGAGTAAGCCACGATACCAATTAGTATGGAGAGTGTTAAAGACAGCCAGTAGATTGGACAGACGAGAAAGGTAGCTCTGGAGGAGGAAGCATGTCACAAGAATCATTACAAGATAACTTTGATCGAGTGGATCAACACGACGCAAAGACATTAATTTTGTAGTATACCTGTCTATGAATGCTAGAATTTATGGTGCCATACATAGCACACACGTGTAATCCAGAAGATAAAACAAATTGTAATTTACATGTGGTTCCTTCAGAATCAGGAATGAGAATATGGCCCATTTCAGCGTAAGTAGTTAGGTCATATAAAAGTAGAAAACAAACATATTATGAAAACAAAACTAATATTTTGTTTTCAAAATAATCACTTCCTGAAACATTTGTTAATGTTTTCAAGGACCACGTCCAAGTTGACACAATCATAGTATAAAAGACACTGTTGACATCGACATATCTACAGTGGTAAATTTATTAATATTGTTTTCATAATTAATTCTTTCAAAGTAAAAATTACAATGTAATATTATTTTATAATGAAGTTGATCTGCACATGGAGATATTGATAAAATTGAAACTAACAACGTTTTGTGTGCGTTTGATATTTTTAACTATGAATCAATCTTCTCCATAACAGTCCCCTCCCTAATGATAATATGCTTACTGACACGCCTGACACGTCAATAAATTATTCACACTGTATATATAAAATAGTGCTTTGGTGCAATGATAGCATGACATTGGCTGTGCAATACATATGCTAAATAGGTTAATACAGGCACTATATTTATTTATTTAAAAATGCACAGGTGTTATGTAGTTCATTGAACCTGACTACACACAAAATCCGGAATATACATTGGATATATGTTATTGGAAAATGTTGGTGGCCTTATATTTGACAAACGGTGCGTCAGAACACAGCCATTGTCGATTTGCAATGTCTTAAACGGCATTGTTTTCACACTTGTTTAAAAATGTCATGGAGGAAAACAGTAAAGCAAAATGCACATGCGAGTTATGGCATTCGTAACTTGTGGTTGTGGCTATAAAAAGGCGAGCATAAACCAATAATTTGTCATTCAATTGTCAAAATTCGAAAATGCCGAGACTCAGCGCTGCCGATCCGAACATCGCCATAGGACGTATCCTAAGAGGGGAATCGCAGTCTTTTGTTGCACGCCACCTCAACGTCCACCACAGCACCATTTACCGCCTTTGTGACGGATACACACAGTTCAATTCCATTGCAGACCGTCTGAGAACGGGCCGACCAAGAGTTATCACCCCTGCACAGGATTGCTACCTTGGACTGTTCCACCTACGTCATCGGAATGCCACAGCTACGGAGACTGCAGGGCGCATCCCTGGTTTGAGGAGGATATCGGACCAGACTGTCAGGAACCATCTTTGCGAGGCTGGAATCCGACCGAGAAGACCGGTTATCGTCCCTGTTTTGCAACAGATCCGATGACAGCGACGCTTGGGTTGGTGCCATACCTTACAGCTTCGGAATATGAGAAACTGGAGACGAGTGTGGTTTAGCGATTGATCATGATTTCTTCTTCACCGGCCAGATTGAAGACAACGTGTTTATCGTCGTCGAAATGAGCGTTTTGCCCCACATTGTGTACGTGAATTCGACAAATTCGATGGCGGTAGTGTCATGGCGTGGGGGTACATAGCCTACACTACAAGATCTGACTTGGTTGTGGTCAGGGAAATTTGACATGAAACCGCTACATGAATCAAATTCTTCAACCTCACCTTCTTCCAATTATTGACCGCCAACACGACAACACTCCACCGCACACAGCTCGTGTCATGGAAGAATACGCTTCATAATGCCAACCTCAACGTAATGCGCTGGCCGTCGAGATCTCCAGATCTCAGCCCAATCGCCCACCTCTGGGATGAGCTCGATCGACGTGTACGTTGACGTCGGAACACTCCGTAGACACTCCCTCAACTGGCCAACGCTTTACAAACAGAATGGCGCAAAATTCCGCAGGACAGAATTCGTACACTCATCCAGTCAGTGCCGAGCAGATGCAGAGCCGTGAATGCTGCCCGGGGCGGTCGCACAACGTTGTGGCCTTATGTGACATGACAATGAACAGTTTCCAATGCCTTTGTACAACGACAACATGTGTCTAAATTTCATATTTGTATCTGTGATATTAAATCAAATATATCGACTGTATTAGGTTCAATAAATTTACTAAAAATCTATCTGTGCGTTTCTTTTTTTAAAGAAGATATATAATACCACACGTGTAGAACAATGCCTTCCTTTAAGAGGACAGTATCATTCTGAACACATTTTCTGTTGTTTTGGAATTATTTTGTCTCGCATTTGAGATACTTATTTTCATAACATACAATACTTTGGATGGTTCTGCAAGAAACATATATCCAGTCATTATCTATCGTTTATTTATGTTCTTGTCAGACAAATAGTTGTAATTATAAGAAATGTTCAATCATATCTCAACGATGTAGAATATGTATTTCATTTCTTACACTTTAATTACTAATAAAGATAGGCGAATCTGAAACTGATTGCCTAGTTAACAAGTCATACTTCTGTGCTCCCCTCAGCGTCTTCATTGAACATATACGTTGTACGGTTGATTGGTTGAATGACAAATAGAGTCCTCTTGCCAGGTTCCCAAAGTACAGCCCCCAGAACGTGTGGCGCACAGTTGGATCAGGATCAAAGCTGTAAATTGCTAAGATGTTAGTCGGTAATGCGTTCTTCCGTGATGTGATCTTGTCACAGAAGGAACTAAGGAATCATCAAGTTTCAGTAGGTAAGAAACTTTCCCAACACGTTATTTCTATAATCATACATGCATACTGTTGTACTGATGTACCTGTCACAGGAAAATTTAAGTATCTAATACGCTAACAATTGCTAACAATTGAAAAGAATAACAACTGAGTGAGTGAGTGAGTGAGTGAGTGAGTGAGTGAGTGAGTGAACAGTATTCCCGTTATATCACGGCGTGTCAGCTTCATAAGGGAGGAACGGCTGAAGTGACCACGTTGATGAAACCCACGAGCTCGGGAATGGAGCTGACAAACCTCAAATGTGTTAGAACCGGGATTTAAGCCAACAATTATTGTTTTTTATTTCCGAGGGACTCGACTTTGCACAGTGACTTGCGGCGTCTTACATTGCTTGGCAACCAGCGCCCCCACAAGCTATGAGTTCAGCCCATTGAAAGTGTTGCATGTGAATTTGTGAATTGGTGTGTTTATTTATTTTGAGGGAGAAGCAATTGTATTTGGGAGCAGGGAAAGGCGTTTAAGAAGGCGAGTTCCACATTGAAATCGTTAGGGTGAAAGAAAACTGTACATACTTTAACATGTTAAATCTTCCGCCTTTGGATGCAGCAGACCACACTTCCACCACTCCCCCGACATCTAAGGTACCCTGGAAAGTGAAACGTGGCGTAATGAGGACAATTTTGAAGCTGACAAGCCATGTTGTGCCGGTGTGGTTTGTTTGTTTGTTGTTCAACACCGCACTCAAGATCAAGATGAAGGAGTTTTATTGTACTCAAGGTCTCCCGCCCATACACAAAACAAGGGTACAAAGAGATAATATCCGTGAGTACAACACAGCTATAGAGATGTGTGATGCATACAATACATATACAATACACTCAGCAATATTCAAGCTATATGACGGCGGTCTGTAAATATCTGGACCAGACAATCCAGTGATTGACAACTTGAGCATCGATCAACGCAATTGGGATACGATCACATGCATCAAGCCAGCGAGCCTAACGATCACGTCAGTCGCAGGAAAATGACAGTCTACTTGTCTGATCATCAAAGAACATCTAAATAGAACCCGCTAACGAGGAGTGCCCTATTCTAGTTATAGATACTGTCTGCATTAATTACCTGTCTGACAACTGCCTGTCTGACAAAAGGGAATAACCAGTGTTAATAGGATATATAGCAATCAATGACTTGCCGTATCCCTGTTAATGTATACTGAACCGCAAAAGAAACGTCACCATGGATAGATATATGAGAAACCTTATTTGTCCAAACACCGTAAACATACCTTGAGACATATTAAAAAGGTGAAACTTTGCAAAACTGATCATCAAGGTTCAAATTAAAGTGTCAAATGTTCTTAAAGTGAAACACAACTCTTGTCTCTTAGAAAATCGCATCACAAGTCAGTATCCCGTGTGTCCGCCATGTGCATTGATGACTGCCGTGCAATGTCGATGCATGGAATTGATGAGGGGGTTGATGAAGGCCAAAGGCACTTGAGCCTACACTCTGAGGAACGCCTGACGCAGTTCAGCTGCAGTTGTCGGTTTTGGTCGGACGTCATTCAACCGTCTTTGAATCTCGTCCCACAGGTGCTCAATGGGATTTAAATCGGGACTGAGGGCAGGCCACTGCATGGTTCTGATGCCATACTGCTGGATGAAGTCTCTTGTTGCTCTCGGGCACGGGCGTTATCATGCTGAATCTCGTGGTTGCGGCGACGTACCGAATGAGGTATGGCGTGTGGTCTCAAGGTCAATGTACCGAGCTGCTGTGACACCATTGCCTCTACCTGGACCGATGTTCTGGAAGACCACAGGGCCGACCCTCTGTGCATGACCAATTCCATCCCACACCATGATGCTCTGACCACTCCACAAGTCTCTCTCAACAACACAAGCATCCGAGTAACATTCCCCATGGCCTACAGTAACGGCTCTCGTCTGAGAATAGGACTCTTCTCCACTGCTGATGGCGCCAATACTGGTGCTGTGTTGCCCACTGACGAAGGTCCCGGCGATGACGTGGTGTCAGAATGGGTTCTCGGCGTGGCCTGTGACAGTGGAGGTGTCTGCACGTCAATCGTCGACGAACGGTGTCCGCACTAATGTGTCGCTGGTGTGTTCCCGTGGTCTGTCGAGCAGATTCCGCAGCAGTAACAAAGCGATCTTGAAGATGATGTCGCACAATCTTATGATCCTGACGTCAGGTGGTGTCCCTTGGCCTTCCACTACGTGGTCGATCATCTGTGGTGTTGGTGGTCTGGTACCGTTGCTGGAGCCCGTGGAATGCATTGGCTACTGACCGGGCGGTATTTCCAGGTTGCCATCGTCCAAGGGCTTGGTGTCGCTGATTTCTTGTCAATCTTGGCATGTGGTAGCAATTCAAAAACGAATGGATGTTATCCGATCTGGGTGGATTTTTATAGGGCAAGAAATGGGGGAACGCATGTGCATTTCAATTTGCACGGAAATAACGTGCTTCGAGTTACTATGGCTGTTGCCGTGATGCGTTTGGGCGATCGGTTTTATTGTCATCTGCTTTGTTTTTTTATCATCAAATTTCATTTGTCCGAAAAAGGGAATGTTAAATTTTAGAAACTTTGACAAAAATTACCCAGGTATTTAAATGACAACTTTTCATGCAATGTGACTTGGGGTGACGTTTCCATTGCGGTTCAGTATAGTAACTTAATCAACATTTGGGCACGAAAATGGGTTTCATGGAATGAATATTTGATTGTGATTCATAAGCATCTGCTCATGATGTAGTGTGAATCGGAATCGTACAATCAACACTTTTAGCAGACCCTTATATTGACACATGTCAGTGCAACAAAGGAAAGCTTATTAAGATTGTTATTATTATGACAAACACACAATAAATATCGAAATATATGTAATGGTCTAATCGAATTTCGTTAATTTCTTCGCCAAGTCAATGGTGTTGCTCAACTAATTCGGCATCGGGTGAAAGCAAGAATCGTATTTACCATGATTTATTATGTGGTGCGCACCATTCATTGCAAAACAAACAAGCCAAGCCTTATTGGTTACAGGTGATAGACAATTAGGACATCAATAATGTAATGCCCTTCACCTGTGTGCAAACTCCATGAATGTTTTAAGTACCTATTTCCTCATAACCGGTAATTGACAAGTCATATCAACTTTTTAATGAATTCCCACAATAACAGTTTTGGACTGACTTTCTTTGAATTAAGGACAATGTGATTGATTGAATTATTTTTTTATATTTTCCAACAATAAATAAACATTTGATTGGCTAACCAAGAATCTTTTGTGCGTTTCTTATGTTTTCATCAACAGAAAACAAATCAGGCCACGCCCACTTCCAAACTACTGTTTCTGGGTTGGCTGAAAATAGAACAGAACGATGTCACTGATTTCGTACTGTTGTGTACATTTTGTGTGTGTGTGTGTGTTAATCATTAGAGAAGCTGTCTGTGAAGTAATAATTGTTGATTATATTTATTTATGAGAATAGACTTCAATACTTGCGTTTATGGACATACATACAAACATACACACACATATATTTATAAGATAGCTCCGCGATAATTCGCAAAGAGCAATGACGAAGTGTGGTTTAGTTCACGATGAAACATTGTTCTGTCATGACGTCATTTCTAAAGATTCGAACAAGCGCATATGAACTTGGTGACGTCATATATTGTATCTACCTAGTTGTTCCCCATAGGTTTAAATGCCGTGCCCAAACAATCGGATCGAAAGTGCGAAATATATGACATTCGGGACTTGGATAAAAGGTACAGTTAATCGATGTGAGGATTGTGAGAATATGCGGTAAATACCAATACCAATACCTGAGCATAAAATGAACTTGTCCGACATTGCGGGAGTCATCATTATTCAAATATGGGTAAACTTTGTTAATGCTTGTACATCCTTAACGAAGCTATACATTATATTGATATGTCAAATAAAAAACCGATGAGCGTTAGTCAATTTATATATATCTCATTTTAAATCAGCAAATACAACCCGCATCATTTTATTCTTGAAAACAGTAATATCACTTGTGTTTACTACCTCATATGTCAGGAAAAATTTGGGATTGTCAAAGGTTTGTTCCCTCCCATATGTTGGGTCACGTGTTGCAAACGAGTGGTTGACTGGTTGCATACATATATGGTTGACGGATTACACACGGGTGGTTGACCAATTCCACATAAACCATTTACCGGCTGCTCACGTTTGGGACACACGTTGCCCATGTGTGTAAAGACACTCCAGGAAGTTTAACTCACCTTAATGATAATGACCAGGGTTCCGAGGGTCATAATGAAAGCCTGGAAGACATCGGTCCATACAACTGCTTTGATACCACCCTATGCATTAAAACACTTTTTACAGCATAGTCCTCACTCACTCATACAAGCAACAGCCTCACGCAAAAACACATTTAGGGTGGGTGAAGAACATGGGGTATGGTGGTTGAAAATGGCCGCTGATCATGGCGGGCTGTAAATAATCGAGTCTGGACCAGACAATCCAGTGTTCTACATCATGAACATCGATCCATGCAATTGGGATACGATGACATGCATCAACCAAGTCAGCGAGCCTGATCACCCGATCCGTTAGTCGCCTTTTACGACAAGCATAGTCGCCCATTACGTATGGGTTGCGGGTTCTAACCCGGATCTTCACGGGTTACTTGTAATAATGTGTCATATTTCACAATGCATCATGGTTTCAAATGATAGTGGCAGACGTAAGTCTCATCCACAGTCGAACACTACTTCACGCTGATATTATTAACTTGAAGGGATGTTCATTTCATACATTCATCATTCACATCTTAACACTACCCAAACACATTTGCTTGTACAGTTTACCATTGCTGTATAAATGATGGCAGCAAAGATGGCGAGGAACATTGACCACACTTTAGGTATATCAGTCACTGAAATAGAGATATGTTTGCCTGGGTATCATTTCAAAACAGTTTTACTTGAGTCAAGGCTATGTTAACTCCATTGTTAGCTTTCCTAAACACACATGGAAAGGCCAACCGTGAACCGAGCTATGGGCAAGAATTAAATACCCACACTATTCAACTAAACAAGTGATTGCTTTCAATGCAAAAAAAATGCTGCACATTTTTTTAACACAAAGGTCCATGCCACAAGTTACCAGAATAACAAAGCTTTATAAATTAATCAATTTTTCCGTTTGGGAGGCACTGATCACAAAACAGCTTTATTATTACCAAGCCAATTAGATATGTATTGTTTAGTTTCTGGCTTTGCGTTTCTTTTTTTTTAAGAGTATATATAATTACCTTCTTCGAGACCTATGGCTGTCCCAAACACTACTATTCCAATGTAGAATACCTACAAATACAAATATAAGTAAGAGCATGATTAAGTGAATCCTTTTTGTGCTAAGTCTTTAGAATAAAAAGAAAATATTTCTATTTCAGTATATTTTTGTTTGTATGAAAAAAGCAATTTATATATCCCAACGTCATTTGTTTCGAGTCTCATCCTTTACGAGGTCCTTAACAATCTTTGACCACGCCCTTAATGACGGTATCAAGGTAAATGCTCTAAAGCCCAATGAAGACATCAATGTGTTCGCCTATTGGGGCTGAAGTTATGTTGCGAATTTAGATACACGAGACATTCAATAAGTAATGAAAACAAACATCAAAATCTAGTTTTTAACTAATGCACATTTTAATCAAAATTGATCTGATAGTATTTGTGCACCACAACGATCGTATGCACCGATGATGAATCAGCTGTTGTTTGTAAATGTTCCGGTAATGTCATGTGACTGATCATATTGAGCTTCTATTTTAAACTTAACTGTAATGGAGGGGCTCGAAATCATGTGACAGAAACAAGATGGCGCCCGACTGACTCATCTCGCTCGGCGAGGCGATGCCACTTTAAAAATCATAAGACCTGAACCCGGTTGTATCAAACTTTAATGATGCATTAACGTGTCATTAAACCTTCTTTAACTAATGTATCATTAAATCCAGTTGTACTAACGTTTTGATGACGTCGTGGTGTCATTAGCGCGTCATTAACTTAATGAAGGTTCTGGGGCATCATTAGCGTGTCATTAAAAACAAACATGGCAGCGAACATATTGTTTGAACGCACAAGGAAAGACCGTGTTTTCAGAAAACGAACTCAACACCTCGAATCCATGAGCGATGAAGAAGTAGGGCCCGCTACCCTTTTGGGAAGGCAAGCATCAGATACGTCTGCGATCTTGTGAGAGATGAATTACAGCCCAAATCTGCAAGATCGCACGCACTTAGTGTTGAACTACAGGTAAATGTTTGATAATTAACACGTCGTCACTAGAAACTCAGCTAGTTTGAAATAAACATATAATTATAGCGCCACATGGGCAAATTTATAGCGGCAATCTTTACAATGAATGATACGCACTTCTGCGTGGGTCATCTCACTGGTCTTTGTTGGTAAAGTCATATATGAAGCCTAATGACACCAACCTTGTAATTATATTTCACAATTGAAAGTTATGTAAATTCATGGATCCCTTTCACTTCACTCCAGAAAGATACGTTTTCAACTTGGCGTTGGCAGCCATGATGAATTTCATAAGGGGGAGTAACTCTAATGACTTAAACTAAATGTGTCGTGCACACTAAAGAGAACAGTTTTGCGTGTTTGATTCCGGCCAAAAGAACCTTTTAATTAATTTAAGCATGCCCATCTTATATCAATCATTAACACTTTACTTACTGAGACATAATGATAACGCAGCCAAATAAATAACAAAGTAGATATAAGTATTATGGAAATATTTGAAAATTTGTCAAACCTATCATTAGCCTCTTTATAATCATTTTACCAGGTTCTGGTAGCCCTACGTTTCTTTGCAAGTGGAAGTTTCCTGCAAATCACTGGCGACACAATAGGGATAGACAAATCAACAGTCTCACGAGTTGTGAGGAAGGTTTCCCTTGCCATTGCGTGTCTTGTGTCCGAGTCTGTTACCTGGCCGTCCGAGATGGATATAGGTGACATTAGAAAGGAATTCTACAATATATCTCGATTTCCCGGAGTCATCGGATGTATCGATGGGACACATGTACGGATACAGGCACCATCAGACAACGACCCTGCCTTTGTCAATAGGAAAGGCTACCACTCGATCAACGTTCAAGCAGTGTGTGACAGCCAAGGTGTGCTAAATAGATTTTTATAATAACAAATCAAATGTCACTGTTAAACCTGTGCATGGAGCATACACGTCCTCCCTTCAAAGTCACAAGGACAATATGTTTACGACCCTGACACCATTCACATTGTTAAACGAAATAGCTATCAGACAAATCTTTATAGTATGATATGATTTCAGCATTTGTTGTATAAGGCCGCGATCAGCAATGTTTCAGCTATATGGCAGTGGCTGCTATATGAACCAGAGTTCGATGGTAATATTGACTTATATTTACATTGACCCCATTTGTCTCGTTCTGTAGGTAACTTTACTAACTTAGTGGCGAGATGGCCAGGCAGTACGCATGACAGCCACGTGTTCAAGATGAGTAAATGTCGACTATCTTTTCACTCGTCGTGGAAAGTGGGGCAATACAGGGCCCTCCCCCGGTCTTCCTCATGTCCAGCTGTCTGTTGCTGAATTACCTTTTGGCCGTCTGGTGCATGTTCGTCCATTTTGTTTTTATTTCTTTTGTTGTTCGCTGACAAACACCGAGAGCGTTACCTTTGGAAGTTATCTCTGCCCAAATAGCCTTCTTTCTTTCGTGGGTAACGGTGCTACACAACTTACTGTTAAGTATGGAGATGTGTTTCTCCACCAACTCGGCTAATAGCTGAATTTCGGAGCTGTCGAAATTCTTGTTTCTATTCCTAGGTGTGGGTGGATACGATGCCATTTTGACAGACGACCGGAAGTAACGCGTATGTGTTTACGTCAAGGAATTGTAGGAAATATTTAGGGGAAACACCGAATTTAATGACAGGTTAATGAAGACATTTATATTAAGGCATCATTAGATAATGATATGCTGATAAACGTTTGATACAACCGATTTTAATGATGCCATTAACTAACGGTGCATTAAGCATTTAATTTATCATTAGGGTTTAATGTAGCCATTAGTTAATGAGGCTTTGATACAACCGGGTCCAGGTCATTTGACCATCCAAATGTTAACAGAAATAAATGTTCTCCAAAAATAAGACTTTTTTAGTGTATTTTGATTGTTATTAGACACGTTATCGGAAATACTTTGTAGGGGCTCGAAAACACATCACGTTAGGATATATATAATTAACATAATATTGCTTTGTGATACGTTCGTGGCATAATAACGGATTTGGGACAGTTTGTTTTAATGTCATAGATCCATAATATAGGAAAAGTAAAACAATGTAACATGTTGTGTGGATGCTGGTACACGAAATAGAAGCAACTCGGAACAGACCCTTGACCGGCATATTTGACATGACATTTACAACCAGGCATGCTATTAATGAAATGACGTACGTAGAATAACAGACCAACAAAAGTTCCTAAGAGGCGGACTGCACGGGAATTGAAACGCCTTTGTATATACTGAAACATTAGAATATTTGTATTAATTTTGTATTCAAATATATCAGACTTTGATTATTTATGTCAACTGGATTTCCCCGACTTCAAGTAGGCCATGCTCCGAAACAGCTTATATTCTTAGAGGTCTGACATAGCTTGGTGTAGTGTCTTCTTAGCCAATTAATATTTGTTGATATTAAGTCTTATATATGGTGAATACACTGAATATTGTTCAGCCCCCAACCCCTTTTTGTTGGTGTACAGGGAGTTAAATACTTGAACATCTATGTCAAATCACTTGATCGTTCCTACAGAAAATACATCCTTCTTCAAAGATTGTACATGATTGACGTGAACGTTTTAACTTTCGCTCCTGCTATATTTATGGCTGTCTCTTGATTGTTCATGTTCTGGTGACGACATGCTTTGTGCCACTCCATGATCCATTCAATCAAGTTCCCCCCTCTTTGTGCCTGACTGCTGAACAATTTTAATTGACAAGAAAGCAAAGTATACCTTTGACTCTGCGAAGGGGATTTGATAAACTCAACAAGTGAGACCTTCATGTGAAATAGCTGGTATGTGATGTCAACATTATTCGTAACAAGTTTGGTATGTTAATGGCTCGTGTCACGATTATCTGAGAAAAGGACCAATGCTACTTGACAAATGTTATATATAGTGAATAAGTGAATCAAATAACCGCATCATATGTTTAATTGAATTTCTCCAATCAGCCTTCTTCTCATTCAGTAATTTATAATAATAGTGAATGTATATTTTTATATTAAACGAAAGTTGTTTAAACTTGGATGCTTTCAAATAAGAAATAAAGTTTCTCCATTAATTCAGTAAAAAATGAAGATTATTCACGGTGATATTTAAAAATGTATAGCTTAAAATTGTTCATCGCAACAGTAAGTAAGCACTCATATCATAAGATTGACACCTTGACAAAAAAAGCAAAGTATACCTTTGACTCTGCGAAGGGGATTTGATAAACTCAACAAGTAAGACCTTCATGTGAAATAGTTTGTATGTGATGTCAACATTATTTGTAACAAGTTTGGTATGTTAATGGCTCGTGTCACGATTATCTGAGAAAAGGACCAATGCTACTTGACAAATGTTATATTTAGTAACAAAAGACTATCCATGCATAACGAAACATTGTATGCACATGCTAAGATTCAGGATTAATAATAATAGCTAACATTGACCAAATAAAATAGGCAAACTGCTTTAAGTACCTCATTGTAGACATTATGTTAACAATTTAGTTATTAGGTACAGGAGTGTTTGCATGTACCTCATTAACAGACGTTATCTTGAGTGGATGCATCAAAGGCACAACCAGTAGACCAGTAAGAAAGAACACCATCAGACACTGACTGAAGCAGGTGATCCAGACCTGGGCGCCATACACGTACACTTCAGCTGGATAACCCAGGATCATGATGGACGATTCAAAGGACACCATGAGCGACAACGCGACGGGGATAATCTGCATGTTGCGACCTCCGACCAGAAACTCTGATGTAGATCGCTGACGTCCACCAGACAGGGCGAAATACAAACCGATGCCAAGTGATATGAGGATTGTGGCGCCGAACACCACATAGTCGATGATGCTGAGGCTGTTCATGATGATTTAACCGGGATTGTATCTGTACTGAAAACACCCAGAAACAGATTTGCAGAAAAATATATGTGTACCTGAATAAATAACCAGGTACATAATTAGATACATTGTTTTAGCCTAAACAGGGGTAAATCTTCACAAAGAGTACGTTTAAAGTCACACCAGCGTTATTGTGACTGGACGGTTTCATATTCTTTTTAATTGTGCAACCTCCTGTAAGGTCAAATAGTGGGTGGTCAGGTTTGCTGACTTGGTTGATGCATGTCGAATTGTGCAGATCAATGCTCATGACATCAATCACTGGATTGTCTGGTCAAGCCCCCATTATCTACAGACCGTCGTAGCTGGAATATTGCTGAATGCGCCAAACGGGCGAGATGGTGTTTACACAGCCTGAAGCACATATTGAGAGAATTAAGTGCTCACCACTCCTCCATCATAGAGCAATTTTCGTTACAATTTCAACATTGAGTGAGTGAGTCTGATTTTACGCCGCTTTTAGCAATATTCCAGCAATATCACGGCGTTGGACACCAGTAATTGGCTTCACACATTATACCCATAACAGGAATCGAACCCGGGTCTTCGGCGTGAAGAGTGAACGCTTAACAGGACAGAATAATAGATTTTCATTATGGGTACGGTGGCGGACACGAACCTTTTATATTTGGGTGTCATCGTTGGTGGAAAGAAGTAGACGACAGTGTCAAATAAACGTCAAATATTTAATTTATCGCAACCAACGGAGCCGCACATCTAATTTCACGTGTACCAATTTTCAAAAACACATGGCAGTACAAAGTTACGGTTGATGATGCAAAGTTGAATGCACAATGTAAAATCAAAATATTGCAAATACCGAAACCTATATGATGTTTGTTTGTTTGTTGTTTAACGCCCCACTCAGCAATATTAGAGCTATATGACGATGGTTTGTAAATATTCGAGTCTGGACCAGACAATCCATTGACTGACATCATGGGCATCGCAATTGGGATACGTGCCTGACCACCCGATCCCGCTGGTCGCTTTTTACGCCAAGCATCGATTGCTGAAGACCTATTCTACCCTGGACCTTCATGGGTTGAAGTAGCTGCACATATATCTCTGGGGAAGTGTCAGGTAGAGACACAGGAATTTCTCTGTCAAAAGTGTACTGTTTTAGTCATGTGTGAGAACACCTATCACCGGATGTGGTGAAATGGTTCATGTTATGTTTCTAATGGGAAGGTCATTCAGATAAAACGCTTCTGTTTTTGCATGTCATGCAAACACCTTTCTTGTACATTTAAATCTTGTCAACGACCCAATTACGGCCGTATACCTCTGCTTACTCGCCTGAGTATATATGGTAACACCGGGATCCCAGAAATGCTCCCATAATGCCACCGCCGACAACGACGACGGACAACCAGGCCATGGTATAAGCTCTTTGTTGACTTTCAGTCAAAGTGCTACATATCACACGTTTCTGCAATCAGTTATGATGAACTCTAAGCAACTAATTTTGATTGGATGACGTGGAGAGTCAAGGTCACTCGGTATGAAGCAGACGCCCTTTAAATATTTTGTACACGATATTTATACCTGGAATTTGATAACCATGATATCCAGGAAATTCATGGCTTGGATTGAAGGCAAAGGTAATTGAATTAAAAGAGGACCTAACTGTGTTAGTGTGGTAGCTACAGGCGAAGGCTTTTCTGTTTCAAAGTTGTACTGCATTTGGGCAAATGCTTTCTTGAACCGAAAGTGATGTTACTAAACCGGAAGTGGTTATAAATTTGTTATAAAGGAAGCTAGAGACATATGATTTTCTCTGTCAAAGGTTGTTATTGTAACATTGTTTCGCAGGTGTACTTGTAGCCTACCTGGGTTTGATACAGTGTCCCTCAGGTGTACTTGTAGCATAACTCGAGGTGAAACATTGTCTCGTAGGTGTACTTGTATCCAAAATCGAGGTGATAGATTGTCTCGCCGGTGTGCTGGTATCCAACTTCGAGGTGATACATTGTCTCGGAGATGTACTTATAGCCTACATCGAGGTGATACATTGTCTCGGAGATGTAGTTATAGCCTACCTTGAGGCGATGCTTTGTCTCGCAGGTGTACTTCTATCCTAAATCGAGGTGGTACATTGTCTCGCAGGTGTACTTGTAGCCTGACACGAGGTGATATATTGTCCTGGTAGGAGAACTTGTATCCTACCTCGGTCTGAAACATTGTCCTACAGATGTACTTGTAGTCTACCTCGAGGTGATGATTTGTCTCGCAGGTGTACTTGTATCCTACCTCGGTGTGATACATTGTCTTACAAGTGTACTTGCAGCCTACCTTGAGGTGATGCTTTGTCTCACAGGTGTACTTGTATCCTACATCGAGGTGATACATTGTCTTACAAGTGTACTTGTAGCCTACCTCGAGGTGATACTTTGTCTCGCAGGTGTACTCGTAGCCTACTTCGAGGTGATACATTGTCTCGTAGGTGTACTTGTATCCTATCTTGAGGTGATACATTGTGTTACAGGTGTACTTGTATCCTACCTCGGTGTGATACATTGTCTGGTAGGTGTACTTGTATCCTACCTCGAGGTGATACATTGTGTTACAGGTGTACTTGTATTCTACCTCGGTCTTATACATTGTCTCGTAGGCGTACTTACATCTCGCGCATCTCGTTGTGAACTCTTCCTGTATTTCACAAACCTCGTACAGCTGCTTTTTCTCAATATGGTCACATTTATGTTTTTCACAAGAGTAGAATAAAAAATTAATCCACTACCGCTGATCGTCGTGCAGGACGTTATACCGACAGTGTCCTCTTCAGGAGCTGCCGCCTCACCCGTGTTCACTGTGTATTCCATGTGCATGCATCCATCACTCAATCACTGCATCACTGCATCACTGCATCACGGCTTCACCAGCGTATGCATTTGTTTACTGAAGCGCTATGTTATTGATTAGGAGATAAACATGCTGTTTTCATAATGAAGCGGCATGGGTTGAGTCCATTGTGATAAGTGGGTTGTCGACTTGAAGTATGGAATCACCGACAACAGCCTTTTAAACAACATATGGCGCTGCATATGCTCAAGCGGTTTGTTTACACCGTAATAATTCACTCAAACATATCACAGAGGTTGAAAGCATATAAGGACGGCAGCTTGGTAAGCTAACATGAGGTAGGCATCACTAAAGAAAACTAAGCGAGCTTTCCAATGCCTTCGTTCAACACCACACGTCGCCATTATGACGTCATATCGCTCATTGTGACGCAAAATATGATTTCACAGTCGTATATAGAACAGCGCCCAATTCCAAAATCTCTCTTGTCCCCAAAACTTAAAATGCCTATTCTTTGTAGATATCTATCGTGTTATCTGCATGAAATGTATTGCCACACATCCTTTGACAATTGTAATAACCACAAATTTGGATTTTGTAACCTATATTTGCATAAATAATTATTTAAATATGCCATCTGACAGAAAAAAATCCCATCTCAGCGGGCATATCATCATAAATTACTTGAAAGAAATTGGTCTGAATGATAAATTTTAAATATGTATGTGAATAATAAATTGCTTGTTTTTAACTTTGGTGTGATCCTACTATTAACAGACATTATTGAAGGCTCTGTCCAGGAGGTTAAAGTACCGTAGAAATATTGCCCCCCCCCCCCCCCCCCCCCCACACCCTGTGTGACACGTAATCCTATCATAATTAATGTAACTATCATCAACCAGTGTTTTCAAGCCAACTCATTGATGAGTATTTTAATATTGGCTAGCATTGTGCACAAGTGGCTAAAGTGATGACGTAAATCCTGCTGGGGTATCATGCAGGAAGCAGAGGTACTGTAAGTCCCCATGATCCCCAGAGAGGTGGCCTAGCTTTGGTTACTGGTGGCCTATAGCCCGTGTTTTAAAACTGTTTATATAATATTGTTAATGCTCGAATATGTTTCATGAATTGTTTCTAAATATAGTATGCTCAAATATGTTTGACCAATTGTTTTTAAACAAAACTTTGCATAAATGACTAAATTGTAAATATATTAACTTGGTCTCGTCGCTATATGGCTGAGATAATGCCGATGCGGCGTTACATTTTTAACTCACTCACTCACTTGTTGATCTCTACAACATAGGAAGCCTACCTGCCACAGGTGGTCCGCTCCTGTTGTCGTACCCTGAACAGCAACGCTGATCACGTCTTAGAATGGTACCACACACCCGCGGGTCCAGCGACAGCAATCCTCAAAATCAACAACGTGTAATTCGCTCAATCGTGCGGCAGTGATGACATCGTACTGCTTGGCGAGACTCTGCTGTGTACGCCGTGATGTGTTTAACTCCAAGCAAAAATTGTCTGCATGGAACCCTGAAGCATCGCTGTCTGGTATATTATAGCCTGGCGCATAAACGAGACAACATGTGCAATAATCATTATTTGATGTTTCGTTGAATTTAGAGTTGTATAGCTTGTCATCTGTAAACTGTAATACATTATGTGGATGATTCAAATGATAACAGATGTCATGCCAATAAAATTTCGTGTATATTCAGTCAAGCGATGAACTGACAATTCGAACTGAGTTGATGGAGTCTATGTTTATTAGGGTCCACCAAAGATAGTGTACATACATACAACAGGTACCCGTGGCCACCAAAGATAGTGTACATACAAACAACAGGTACCCGAGGCCATCACAGATAGTGTACATACAAACAACAGGTACCCGTGGCTACCAAAGATAGTGTACATACATACAACAGGTACCCGAAGCCACCAAAGATAGTGTACATACATACAACAGGTATCCGAGGCCACCAAAGATAGTGTACATACAAACAACAGGTACCCGAGGCCATCACAGATAGTGTACATACAAACAACAGGTACCCGTGGCTACCAAAGATAGTGTACATACATACAACAGGTACCCGAAGCCACCAAAGATAGTGTACATACATACAACAGGTATCCGAGGCCACCAAAGA